AAAAAGTGAAAAAAATAATAATAGTAGGATGCAACCTATTAGAAAAGGAGGGGAATATTATAAAAATGAAAGGAAAAATAATTTACGGGCGATCTGAGGTCGGGAAGGGGATGGGGGTGAGTTTTTAAGAGTAAAAAACGGTTTTTCTCGATTTCCGGCAAAACTAAAAGTCCTATCGAAAAAAGTAAAATAGCAAAGTTGTATGTAATAAAAAGATCTAAAACTTTTGTGTTTACACTTTTTTCACATAACCTCAAAATTTATGTGAAAAATTCAAAAAACCAAGTTTTTGGTTTTTTATTTTTATCTTTTACAAAAAAAATTTTTTTTAACGAAATTTGGTGAAAACTTACCTTTTTATGTCCCAAATACGCTGTAATTTATTTGATTAAAAATATTTTTTCACCTTATTTTGAATTAATATCGGAAAAGCACCCTAATTTTCAATCGAAAATTCACCCATCAAAATATCAGCTTTTTTCAAAAAGTTGGTATGTTTTCTGTTCTTTGAAATCTCTACTTTCCGATGGTGAAAAAAAAATGTTACTATAGTAAATCTTCTGAGAAAATGCAAAAACACAAAACCTTTTTTATTTCATACACTTGCTTATCATAAGGCAGATGATAAGCAAGTGTATGAAATAAAAAAGGTTTTTAGTTTTTTTGCATTTTCTCAGAAGATTTATTCTAGTAACATATTTTTTTTCACCATCGGGAATTAGAGACTTCAACGAACAGAAAACATACCAACTTTTTGAAAAAAGCTGATATTTTGACGGGTGAATTTTCGATTGAAAATGAGGGTGCTTTTCCGATATTAATTCAAAATAAGATGAAAAAATAAATATTTTTAACCAAATAAATTAGAGCGTATTTGGGACATAAAAAGGTAAGTTTTCACCAAATTTCGTTAATTTTTTTTTTTTTAAAAGATAAAAATAAAAAACCAAAAACTTGGTTATTTGATTTTTTCACATAATTTTGAGGTTATGTGAAAAAAGTGTAAATACAAAAGTTTTAGATCTTTTTATTACCTACAACTTTGCCATATGACTTTTTTCGATAGGACTTTTAGTTTTGCCGGAAATCGAGAAAAACCGTTTTTTCTCTTAAAAACTCACCCCCATCCCCTTCCCGACCTCAGATCGCCCGTAAATTATTTTTCCTTTCATTTTTATAATATTCCCCTCCTTTTCTAATGGGTGTCATCCTACTATTATTATTTTTTGGTTTTAAAAATTATCGACCCTGGTCTAATAAGGGGGTAAAACAGAATGAAAGTTTGTATAAAACCTACCATTTTATTTTCTTTTTGTAGTTTTAGCGCGAACGAAGTCACCTGTTCTGCTAGTTATTTAATACATCTTATTTAATAAACGACTAATTTTATACTGTAGTCAACTCTATCGCATCAAATAAATTCATTCACATCATTTTTTCACTTCAAACGCGCCGAAAGAAGTATAACTTCAAAAGCACCCAAGCTGAGCACTACCTTTTTTAAACTCTGTCAAAAATAGTTTTTAATAGCATACATTAAATAGCAGGCCATTACATCAATAAAAAACATACAAACAATATCTATCATTATTCTGTCACATTTACACAATTTTCCGCACATATTATAAGGATTTAAAATTTCTAGTTAAAATAAGATGGCCGAAGCCCCCGAGCCTACCGCGACTACTGGTCGGCTTATTATAAGCTATCTCCAAAACACCAGGAGTGGGGCCACAGTCTCTGACATAATACAGCATCTTCAAACTAAAAGTGGGAAGGAGTCTAACGATTTGAAAGATACGGTAGTATCCATTCTGGATAGCGGCGCAGCGTTAGGTTTTCTCGAGAGGAAAGGCTCAAAGTTTATGCATTTGGTGGCTCAAGAGATGTGTGGGAGGCGACGAAGGAGTAGATGTAGGCGACGAAGACGTCGGACCAGACGACGATTCAGCCAACGAAGGAGACGAAGACGACGAATTTGCCGCTGTGGCTAGCTCCCCGTACCATAACCAAAACCCAGTCAGACAACAGTAAATTATTTCTAGTGATGTTATAATTCTTTGGAAATATATTCGTTTTTAATAATTCTCCTATGGTGTTTTAATTTTAATTAAGTTTTTTTTATAGCGTATTTTATTAGTTTATAAATACGGATACTAATAAAGTAATTTTTTCTGAATAAAAAAGTGGTATTTCAGAAACATTCGTATTGTTGGCCAAAACCCCTATAGCAGTTCGGAAAACGTGATAATGATGTGGCTAGTGAAACTTCATTGGCTAAACATCTCTCCTTCCCAGTCTTCCCCGTCACCATGTTAGCTGTAAAGCATTCGAAACGTGGAACCAAAATATAAAACAGCGGCATAATCCGAAAATAAAGTTTTACGGTAGATTTAAAATTTCAAATATTCGCATAAATTGGGTCCAATTGTATTTTCAAACCATCCAGGAGCTCGTTGAAATATACACACAAAATTTCATCCAAATCGGTCTAGCCCTTTAGTAGGAGTAGGTTAACAAACACACGTACAGAAGAATTATATATATTAAAATAAAAGAGAGTCGGGTTTGTTACAACACTAATACCCGAGAGCTGCTGGACCGATTTTTGCAAAAACGACGGGCCGTTATAAATTTGACGTGTATGTGTCTGTCTGTGGCATTTTATGGATGAACCGATTTTGATTTTTTTTGTTTGAAAGGTGAATCAGTCGGGACTCGGGAGTGTTCTTAGCTATGTTTTATGAAAATCGATCCAAGATGCTCGGGGGTTTTATAAATTTTTAATTTACCATTAGTATTTTACATCTTAGCTTTGTATTCTAAAACTAGGTACCTTCATTTTGTTGGATTTGTCTTCACCCCTAATACCAGAGTAACTATTAAAAACGTCGAAAAAATTCACGAAAAAAGAAAATTAAAAAAAAATCTATTCCACATTAAGCGTCAAAACGTCTAGGTACGTTTTGACGCTTAATGTGGACGAACCTGAACGAAACGAAAGTGAGTCGTTGGCTTACAAATAAATAGGCAAACACAATTTTATGTAATTAATCTATTATCCATACTAATATTATAAATGTGAAAGTGTTTTTGTTTGCTTGTTTGTTTGTCCTTTTTTCATGTCGAAACAGTTTTTTTTTTGTGTGGAGGTAGTTGGAGAGTGACATAGGCTACTTTTTACCGCGGGAGATTATCTCATTCCCACGGAAAAACACGTTAGGTATAATATAGCCCAAAACATATTTATGATCGAATTACAATACAATTACATAACAATTAACAAGTGTTTTAGCATTTTCCAAATTTATCCCATATAGACCAGGGTAGAAGCCTTTAAAAATAATAAAAAGTGAAAAAAATAATAATAGTAGGATGCAACCTATTAGAAAAGGAGGGGAATATTATAAAAATGAAAGGAAAAATAATTTACGGGCGATCTGAGGTCGGGAAGGGGATGGGGGTGAGTTTTTAAGGGTAAAAAACGGTTTTTCTCGATTTCCGGCAAAACTAAAAGTCCTATCGAAAAAAGTAAAATAGCAAAGTTGTATGTAATAAAAAGATCTAAAACTTTTGTGTTTACACTTTTTTCACATAACCTCAAAATTTATGTGAAAAATTCAAAAAACCAAGTTTTTGGTTTTTTATTTTTATCTTTTACAAAAAAATTTTTTTTAACGAAATTTGGTGAAAACTTACCTTTTTATGTCCCAAATACGCTGTAATTTATTTGATTAAAAATATTTTTTCACCTTATTTTGAATTAATATCGGAAAAGCACCCTAATTTTCAATCGAAAATTCACCCATCAAAATATCAGCTTTTTTCAAAAAGTTGGTATGTTTTCTGTTCTTTGAAATCTCTACTTTCCGATGGTGAAAAAAAAATGTTACTATAGTAAATCTTCTGAGAAAATGCAAAAACACAAAACCTTTTTTATTTCATACACTTGCTTATCATAAGGCAGATGATAAGCAAGTGTATGAAATAAAAAAGGTTTTTAGTTTTTTTGCATTTTCTCAGAAGATTTATTCTAGTAACATATTTTTTTCACCATCGGGAATTAGAGACTTCAACGAACAGAAAACATACCAACTTTTTGAAAAAAGCTGATATTTTGACGGGTGAATTTTCGATTGAAAATGAGGGTGCTTTTCCGATATTAATTCAAAATAAGATGAAAAAATAAATATTTTTAACCAAATAAATTAGAGCGTATTTGGGACATAAAAAGGTAAGTTTTCACCAAATTTCGTTAATTTTTTTTTTTTTAAAAGATAAAAATAAAAAACCAAAAACTTGGTTATTTGATTTTTTCACATAATTTTGAGGTTATGTGAAAAAAGTGTAAATACAAAAGTTTTAGATCTTTTTATTACCTACAACTTTGCCATATGACTTTTTTCGATAGGACTTTTAGTTTTGCCGGAAATCGAGAAAAACCGTTTTTTCTCTTAAAAACTCACCCCCATCCCCTTCCCGACCTCAGATCGCCCGTAAATTATTTTTCCTTTCATTTTTATAATATTCCCCTCCTTTTCTAATGGGTGTCATCCTACTATTATTATTTTTTGGTTTTAAAAATTATCGACCCTGGTCTAATAAGGGGGTAAAACAGAATGAAAGTTTGTATAAAACCTACCATTTTATTTTCTTTTTGTAGTTTTAGCGCGAACGAAGTCACCTGTTCTGCTAGTTATTTAATACATCTTATTTAATAAACGACTAATTTTATACTGTAGTCAACTCTATCGCATCAAATAAATTCATTCACATCATTTTTTCACTTCAAACGCGCCGAAAGAAGTATAACTTCAAAAGCACCCAAGCTGAGCACTACCTTTTTTAAACTCTGTCAAAAATAGTTTTTAATAGCATACATTAAATAGCAGGCCATTACATCAATAAAAAACATACAAACAATATCTATCATTATTCTGTCACATTTACACAATTTTCCGCACATATTATAAGGATTTAAAATTTCTAGTTAAAATAAGATGGCCGAAGCCCCCGAGCCTACCGCGACTACTGGTCGGCTTATTATAAGCTATCTCCAAAACACCAGGAGTGGGGCCACAGTCTCTGACATAATACAGCATCTTCAAACTAAAAGTGGGAAGGAGTCTAACGATTTGAAAGATACGGTAGTATCCATTCTGGATAGCGGCGCAGCGTTAGGTTTTCTCGAGAGGAAAGGCTCAAAGTTTATGCATTTGGTGGCTCAAGAGATGTGTGGGAGGCGACGAAGGAGTAGATGTAGGCGACGAAGACGTCGGACCAGACGACGATTCAGCCAACGAAGGAGACGAAGACGACGAATTTGCCGCTGTGGCTAGCTCCCCGTACCATAACCAAAACCCAGTCAGACAACAGTAAATTATTTCTAGTGATGTTATAATTCTTTGGAAATATATTCGTTTTTAATAATTCTCCTATGGTGTTTTAATTTTAATTAAGTTTTCTTTTATGGCGTATTTTATCTATACATATAATAATTGAAATAGACATTATTACCGATACAGAGGCCGAATCTATAGTTTTTGAATTTTTGTCTGTCTTGTTACCGCATCTCAGAAAAACTAATGGAGGGATTTTGATGAAATTTGGTATGGTGATATCTGGTTATCCGGGTCAACATATAAGATAATATCTCATTGCTGAGAAAAAATACAAAAATTGCAATTTAAGAGTATACTAATATGTAAAACCTAAGAATTTGGTTTTTGGTCATCTGAACGTGGGCGGAGCCGCGGGCAATGCTAGTATAAAATAAAACTGCTACAAAATCCAAAACGAATAAAGTTTTACGGCAGATTTAAAATTTCAAATATTTGCATAAATCTAAGAAAGTATTACAACGATGCATCATTCAATTTTTCAAGTCACTGAAAGAGTTTTAGGTCCTTAATGTTCTTGCCATAATCACTTTCATGTAAAAGATTTTTTCCAGTTTTCATATAATATTTAGGGGTTAAGGATTGACATACCTTCGTTAATAAAAGACATCAAAAGATTGTATTATGTTTATTTTTCTGTAGTTTAAGACAAATCTGTGAGAAATGGTGTAATATTTAATTTTGGCGAGTTATACTACTGATATAATATCCTGTGTATGCTCGAGATAAAACATGCAATTATTTTGTAACTAATCTCATTTAAAATTAATCTTTAAGATGTACAACACATTGTAGATAGATAGATACAAACAAAATGTTACCTAATGGAATCGAACCCGTGGTCGCGTTATAGTTAGTCATTTCTTACCACTCCTGGTATGCCCTACAGATCCTACAACGGTATTAGAGTATTTTCTGTAGGGCAAAAATAGAATATCTATAGATTTTTTTATAACTGATATGTATTAGATAGTGTAAGAGATACTAAATAAAATACTAGTACTGTAAATACATTTATTGATTGTCCCCCGACTACTTTTACTATATCAAGAATATTGAGAATAACATACCAAAAATTAATTCAGAATAAATACGATTAAATATTTGATTAAATAATTTCTTAATATTAATTTCCATAAATACTTTTAAATATGGGAAATATTATATTTCTACTTTTCTTAAATTACGAGATAAATATGTATTTGTTTCCTTAAAATATAAGTTAAATATTTAATTAACTTTGTTTATATATGAGATAAAAACATTACTTTGATTATATTAATAAAGTCCATTAAATATAACACAAATAAGTTCCGATTATTACTAAAGTACATTATATTACTAATGCCCGCGCCGCCCGCCGAATTAGTAATCGTTTTTAAACTATTAATACCATATGATTGTCTTTTGAATATATAATAATTACTTATTAATAATTTCCTTAAAATACGAAAAAGTCCACCTAAATCTACGTACATTAGATCCTGCATGTATAACGCATGTAGATAATTCAAAGAGACCATAATACTTAGCACATTAAAACTAATTGATTCACTCACAACACTATACACAGTTTATGCACCGAGGAGTCTTTTGACGGTATATCCAGGAAAGGCGTAGACGAGGAGCAGGATGAGTATAGCCACGAATATTATCACGGTGTACTTTAAGATAGTCCACTTATAGTTGTGCCACACGATGTAACGTATCGACTTCAGGGGGTTCAAGAACCACATGAAGGAGGCATCTGGGCGACTGTGAACAATTATGGATTTCGTTATAATTTTTTTATGTTATTTGCCCAAATTTTTTGTATTTATATTTTATTGCCCTATTTCTCCCTGAAATAGACAGAAAAGCACATATCTCTTTATATTTACATACCCTATAGATATAGTTGTAATTAAGAAGAAAGAGTGTAGCATGTGGCTTAGCGTATAGTGCATGGCTACACAAGTCTAGTGTGCTTAACAGTAGACAATCTGCTATTTCAAGTCACAGTCTATTTGTGTACTAATTTTCATTCAGATCTTTCCAGCCGTTTCAGCGTGAAAGAGTAACAAACATACACACACACATGCAAACTTTCACATTTATGAAAGTAGTTGATGGACAGTAGTCGTAACTTACTTAGGTTTGTCTAAGGGATCTGGTTCATTGCGTCCCAATCCAGCCGGTACTTTTTCGGCTTCATCACGAGTCAGCAGATGTATTTCGGCTTCGACTTTGCCGGTTAGTTCCATTTCCTCTGTGTCGCGCTTTATGTAGAAGGGCCACCATCCCTTTACGCGCTTTTGCTTAAATATATTAATCATCGGCACAGTACCGTCACTGCGCAGCATATCTAGTGTACATAGTTTAGAAGATTTGGCTCCACGCGGGAACCGATTCAAATCTAGGGTGATAGCACCTGTGAATGAACAGAATAATAATAACTATTAGCATATTTGAAAAAAAAATGTTTCAAAGTTCATACTCATTCAAATCGATTGAAATAGAAATGTTAAGTAGTAACAAAATCTGGAAACTAATTTAACGATTTTAATATAAAAATATGTGTTCCTTACCCAAAAAGTCATCAGCCGAGAAGTGATCAGCATCCCACACTTGCAATTCCAGGCGCGCTGGTATTTTGCACTCACTTTCGTCCCAAGAAAATACAGATTCTTTACGAGAGATCACAATACGTTCCTCGGCTTCCAAATAGTCGAATGGATAGATGAATCGCCAGTTAAAGTTGCCTTCTCCAGTTAGGGAGCGATAGTGTATATCAGTGCACTGGCAATCGTCCGGTCCTCGGAGCCAACTGAGACAGAATAAGGAATGAAAAAAATATTAAATTAAATTATGTAAATTTCATTATTGGTTCCTCGTATAGTACTTATCTTAAAATATAACTTACCCTTTCACGTATATATCGGACATCTTCTCCCCTGTGAAGAAGGCGTCGTCTTCAAGAACTACATCGTCTGTATTCCATATAATAACTCGCATCTCGTATGATTGGGGTTTGCGAGAAGAAATATCTAATGGTGGTCCGGGGAGGGGCATATCCATGGGAAACATATCCACCCACATTTCCAGTCGACCCTGTTCAATTCCTGGAAAGTTAAGATTATATTAAACATTATTTTGATAATATACATTTAAAATACGAGTACAAATTTTGAAATCTCTTATTTTGGTAATATACTGTGTACGCTAATGTAATAGTACCAGGTTTGTTTGGGTTGTATAATGGGCGAGTTTCCACGTGTTCAGTAACAAGGTGCGTGCCAACTCGCGGGACCTCCTGCCAGCGACGGAGCACTACCAAAGCCATCTGCTCCTCAATAGTATCCGGGTCGGAAAACAGCTCAGTGTCATCCATGGGCATGTTAAAAATAGTCCTGCCGACCTTCACACGGCCATATTCATATACTGGAGGATCAAGCTTGCCGTCTTTGCAAAGCTTGGCGAGTATCTGGGTTGGTTTCATGGCGTCTCGCCATCGATTGTAGCCTTGTCTTTAAAACGATAAAATAATTAAAAATAAGAAAATAAAAATTACACTTGCAAACATTGTGATTGTGATTATCCTTTTAATATGTATTATATTATTAGCGAATTTAATTTACTAAATATATATTTCTTCCTCAAAATATTAAAATGAATTATGAAATAACTGTGTTAAAAGATACAAAAATAAATCGAAAAAAGATTAAATTCAATTGGTGTCACATTTACTCACTCTTCATACTTAGTAGGCAGTCCACAGGTAGCCCTGTGGCGACTGTAAAAGCGATTCTCGAGATCAATCTTAGTCTCTCCAATCAGATCATCCGATCCAAGGAGGTCCCAGTCAAGAACTTGAATAGTAAGCATTGAGTCCTGCGGAAAAGTGGCCTCGATTTCGAAGCATTTACCAAACACTGGATTCAGTTGCTTGGATACATAGTTTTCCTTGTCACTAATACGCTTAGAACCAAGATGTAAAACAATATACGGGTCGGCCTTCCCGTTCAAATCCATAGGATGTAAATCAGTGGCCTTTACAATATACACGCGGACTAAAACATGTATTGGATCGTTATTGGGAACACCTTGGAAAAACCCGTGGTTTGGGTCGAATCCCATTACTGTATGATCGTCTATTTCTCTTGGGAGAGGCCATTTATATACTTTTATGGCACCCTAAAACAAGAGTAATTCTTGAGAAGAATAGAAAAATTTGATACGAAGAGAAGTGTAGTGTGAAGGTAAAAAGCAGACAGGATGGGACAACACCAATAGGAGTCAACGAACAAGGTAAGAAGAAAAGTCACATATATGCAAGGTGAAGAACAGATACAAATATTTGTGCAAAACATATTCCAAATGAACGTACCTTAAATACACCGACTACTCGGTTGTCATCATCTGAGTCATCGCCGGTCTTTTTGCCGCGGTACAACTCAAAGGAATGTAGCCATTCTTTAAATTCGTCGTATTCGGGCACTGCCTCAAGTTCGTGAGGATAGATCTATAAGATACAAGAGTAGTCTTTTGAGTCATATATAGTTTTTTATAGATAAAAAATATTTAAAGAATAAAATAATTAGTACCTTCGTTAGAGCTGATTTTGGGATCTGATTTTTCTTTGGAATAGTTGGACTTATGTTAGCCTTTGGCGATGGAGTTCCTCTTCGCCTATCGCGTCGATCGCGGTCTACGCGAGGAGAATGTACCTCGTCTGTTGGTATCTCTTCAACATATGATGAAGTAGATGGCTGGGGAGTCTGGATATATCCTTGACGCTCCCGTACATTCTGCTTTTCTTCTTCAATCATAGATTCCACAGAAGCAAAGTATTTGGTCCACCAGTCCTTACTGCTCTCGTCATCATCAAGAACTGAGTCAGCACTCGCCTTGCGTTTTTTATTGCTTTCATGTTTAATAACTTTTTTCGCCACACCGGGTCGACGGGTGCCGTAAGCCATGATGACACGACCATCACGAAACAGTAATGGGCAACTTTCTTTTTCATTTTCTATATTGTATACATCATCTTGAATAATGCAATTTGAACGCAAATCTACGTTCTGGAGCTGGATTAATGACTTTTTCCTGTCTTCAATTTCTTTTTCCCGTCTGCTCATGGGTGTGTAAATATATTTGTGGATTGAATTTATTGTGTGGGTGCCCACAAGAGTGATCCTGCCGAAGCTGCGGCAGTCGACAACTCGTATGGTTAAGGGTGGGCGGTATAAGTCTTGATCAGGTAGTTCCACGTCTACAAATTTTACTGGATTACCAAAGTTAGGATTTCGCTTTGCATTTTGAATCACGGATGAGTATATGATATGCCCAGAGCATTCAATGTCAACTCTAGGCTTATCTACACTGAGAAGATGTATACGCTTTAGGTCACGCAAACCCCAGAATAATACTTCAACTCTGTATCGAGAAAGTGTGGGTCGTATACCTCTAGGAACTGGATATACAGGTCCTTTATTAGTATCATCAAGTGTTTTCTCCCTCTCTTTAGCCGGAGGAAGTTCTGGTAAAATAGTCGAATCTTGTTTCGACGGTATTTCTAGTAATTCAAATGTGGCTAAAAGCTCTCCTGCTCTGTCGTCTCCTCTTGTTATCTCATACCACTCCAATGAAGGTGGAAATTGTGGTCTTTCATACGGATCTTCAAAAGCTTTCACATGAGGCTTTGCCAAAGTGCGTCCTATATATTCTGACTTACCAACTTTGTCTTGATCAAAGATTTCAATGACAATAGTTGGCGGATTAGCTTTAATTTGCTCAATCGTACTATACAATAAAACGTCTTCGAAAAGTAGCAGCTCATCCCAAGTAGGGCTCAATGTTTCATCAATTACTTGGGTTGTAGCAGTGCTCTCCCCGATGACGACACGCGCAAAAGGATCAGATAAACCAGAAGAGTCTGATCCTATAAGGGATCTAGCTTGATATATATAAGCACGCATTTGGAAGGTCTGCAAATAGTATAAAAAATATATGACAATAACGTAGCATGATATGTACGATACGTATATTTATTTATTTACTTTTCTATCTAATATATATAAACGAGCAATTCTTGTATATTTATTTATTTATACCGACGATCTCGAAAACGGCTCTAACGATTTCACTGAAAGGATAATGCAACCCAATGGCCTCAAAGTAATAAGAAAAAAAAGTTATTGCGCAGATATGAAACAAACGCTATCTTATAAAACTCATTTACACAATTACTTTTTACTATGGCATCATTGAAATCGTACCCAGATATACCTATATAATTCTTTTGCCCTCTTTTAGTTCTTCCTTTAAGGTGTTTTTGTGATAGTTTTATAGTTTTAAATATGATGATTAACGAGGGGTTATATCTACTCAAATAAAAAAAAACTAAATATGACTACCTAGAAAATCATAGCTAGGTTATTTTATTTTTTTAGCAAGTAAAAGAAAGTCATTTTATCAAATAATCAACAAGATATATTTAACGTTTAAATACATTTATATTAAAATAAACAGAATATTTTAAGTAGTATACAGATACATATATTAATGATGGATATCTCATATCACTTGCAACATAACTTGCTATGTATTATGCTAGTCATCATCATGGGACGATGAATTGAATCTTGGTGCCTGGCCCATGTAAGATAGCAGACTATGGACATTATATATGCATATACACCAATGGTTCTCCTTCCTGTCAACTTTTACACCTTAAAATATATTTTTTCTCTAGGTGGGATTTCCGTGCTGCCATATTGAAAATACTCACGGCAATAATAGCTATTATTTGCCATGGCTTTTACGTGTGGGCAGTAAAAAAAAAATTTTTAAGTGTGAGCCCAACCCACAAAGGTGAAAGTTGCATTATCTTTTGGTATGTAGGGGTTTTCGGAGGAGAAAAATCGGTCTAGATTAGTTTTATGTCTGGGAAAATGCGTATTTTAGAGTTTTCATGCGGTTTTCGCCCACTCGGGCATAAGAATCGTGGTCACGTGGCATAAGCGCAAGATTGACGATCACAGGTGTCAGGGTTTGAATCCCGGTCGGATACGAATTTGTACTTTTGTGTTTTCTTTGTTTTTTTTTGTATTTCTATAGCTTAAGTTTTAAGTTATATAGATTATCATCTAAAAAGTACGATATAACAAAAAAGAACTCCGAGCGAAACTCTTTGGCCCAGGTACCTAGACTTTACTAAAGAAATTATCCGTATCTTATATATTTAAACGAGCTATTCTTGTATATATATATATATATCAATATATAATTTGAATCTCGGAAACGGCTCCAACGATTTTCATGAAATTTAGCATGCAAGGGGTTTCGGGGGCGATAAATCGATCTAGATTAGTCATAAATCTGGAAAAACGCGAATTTTCGAATTTTCATGCGATTTTCTTTTGCATTTTCACAATTTTTGCATTGTCACTTCTGGTGAGTGGGCGGCGCCACTGTGCAACTGTCAACATCGTGTCCGTATTTACATCAAGTTTAAATATATTTAAGTGAAAATAATCTAAAGAATAAATATAAATTTAAATAATAAAAATAAATTTTTAAATAAAACCTATGGGCAATAAGTAAACATCACCAAGTCTTGATGTGTTGAAGAACAAATGAGCTTTTAAAAATTCACCTACCAAACAAATATAAAAGTGACAAACATAACTTAAAGATACTATTAGTGCAAAACCATCTTTTCTGTGTGTGATGACAATAAAACAAAATAATTTGTGAAGTGAAAGCGTCAAATATTAAAACATAAGTTTATAACCTCAAAAACTAATACTCGGTATAAAATTGCAATTCAACTTGGTATAATTGGTGCTTTTTTCAATCAGCTTTTCTACTTCCAACTTCACACATAAGATGGAGGACATAAAAAAGTTGCTAATAAACATGCAACAAGAAATAAGACAGCAGAAAACAGAAATGTTAGAAATGAAAGAAGACATTAAAAATACAATCAACAATAATATAGGTACTTAAATGAAAAATTTAAACAGTTAGAAATAAAAATTGAAGTTCTTGAGAAAAAAAACCAGGAACAAAGTACCTCAATAAATAATTTAGAAAGACATATTAGGCGCAAGAACTTTCATGAACTCCTATCATGAACTAGAGGAAAAAATAGTCTTAAACTAAACGGAAATAAAAAAGAAGTCTGCCTGTATCTCCAAAAACGCCTTACCTCAATTATAAACAAAAACTAACAAATAAACAACATACAAAGAAAACCATACCTGGTAATATTAAATACTTTATATTACAAAATCCAAAATTAACTTTCAACCACACAAATGATAACCAGGAACAACTAAAAACAACACTGCAAGATACAGTTTATTAAACACAGTAGGAACCTCCTCATCTTTATCGCCCAGTATGGCCGGTCATTGTGGGGAGTTCGACCATAACCCTCCAAAGAAAAACAGACATACAATGACAAAGGTATACATATCTTCACCAGAAAAACTTCTAGAATTAAAAGCAGTATTTCCTACAACAAATCAAAAGAACACAAAGGTAAAATTATAAACTTGATAGGCATATCAGAAACAAATTATATATTGGAAACAAAATTTGAAAAGAAACCCTTTGCAATCATACAAGCATAATCTCCAACGGAGAGCTCTATGCAGGACTACTTTGGAGGAGGCTTTTAACCGAGAGGGGTCTATACATGAAAAAGACATTTACTAAATAAATACATTTAATTATGAAGTTAAATACCTAATTTATAACTATTGTCAGAATTAATGTATGGAAAGAAATTTTATTTATATTTATTATTGTGAAATGTTTAGTATTTACTCAATTGAATTGTTTAATTTATTGTGATTGTTTATTTATTTATTTGTTAATGATAATTTATATATATACAATATCATTTCAAATAATATGAAGATTTTTAAAATAATTTAATTCCAGATTACAAAATTATTAGTTAAAAAATTATAAGTTAATAAATAGTCACTAAATTATATAATTTTATATTTCAGCAATGTGATATAGACATTTTTTTTATTGTACAACTAAAATGGCTCCTTATATACTCTTAACCAAATAAAATTTTAATGGAATACTTTTATAAAAAGCTGTGCATACTTTTAAATTAAATTTATATACAAATAGGTAAAATTATAATGTTAAATAAATGTTTTTATGTAAATTTAGTTAGTAAGCCTTTATAATAAATAAATGAATAAATAAATAGAGCTTTATTATTATTATGATTTCTTTTGCATTATTTCAATAAATTAATAATTAATAATTCCACGCAAAATATTATGTTCGATAATTTCGCACGCTCAGATATAAGCATCATGGTCAAGCGGTCAATGCGCAAGTTTGACAACCACAGGTATCTGGGTTCGTATCCCGGTCGGACACAAAGTTTTAATTTTGTTTTTTTTTTGTATTTATTCAAATTCTTTGTTTGTTGTTTTTTAATGTTTTTTTTTGGCCAAAAACTCCGAGCAAAGCTCGGTCGCCCAGGTACTTATTATTATAAATGTGAAAATTTGTGACTATAGATGTTTATTACTCTTTCACACCAGAACGGCTTAACAGATCTAGATGAAAGTTAGCACAGAGATAGATAGTAGTCTGGAATAACACATAGGCTACTTTTTATCCCGGAAAAATGTATGGTTCCCGTGGGATAAGTTTGTTTTTGTTTTCCTAGAGATGAACCCGAGACAAGCGAGGTTGAGCCGCTAGTTTCTTTATATAATCTTTGCTGTACTGACTTAACATAATAAATACTCAAAGCTACATTTAAATTACTTCTACTTATTCTCAAATTATTCGATATAACTAGCGCTTTACTTCACCTGTCGTAAATTGAGATCAATATAACAGAAACCATTGTGCATGTAATTTTAATTGTACTTAGATAAATAGTACTATAGAAAAAATTGCATTACAAATAAATAAACACTGACAGATAACTATTATTACTTTACTTATATCGAAATAATCTATAAATACATGTTTACTTACATGTTTCTCCGCATAAAACATCGTAATAGGCGGATTGGCTCTAGGCTTTTCAGCATTTTTTATTTCTTGGCTGATTTCGTAGCCTATTGGAAGCCCATCGATATAGTGCTTCTTATCTTGAAGTATACCAAGCCACATGTAAACGCTTAATTTTGCCGGTATGGCCCAGCCACTTGGTGACGTGGCCTTCTTACCCGGCCACTGCGAATGAATTAAAATGTTAGAACTTTTGCAAACGTTTCAGTAAGCTATTGAAATACCACATTATCTTTGTATTATTTACGTTAATATACAGTCGGTGTACTATAGTATGCTCACCTTCAAGAAAAACGTCTGTATTTTTCCACAGAATTTCCCAGACTCGTCTTTGCAATCGGAATAAATAATATCTCTAGCATTAACTCTATAATACGCCAAACGCTTGCCGTTGCTGATCATCCATATGAATATATCGGGCATAGCGTGTTGCGCCTGAAATGTTGTATTTATTGAACAGTGACCAAAAATACCCACAGATTAACAGCAGTCTTTTAAAGATTATTAAAAGGCTGTTGCTATCCGTACTTAAAATAAAAATAATGATTCGTACTTTAATAGGACGAATAATAAGTAAAGGACGCTGTTACTATTCGTCCCATAATCGGATGAACAAAAAATCTATTATTCTTCCGATTATTGTCGGTTTGTACGAATATTTACCACTTTTTTGTTTTCTAATGTAAAATAAGTGATTTTTAGGTGCAGGAGTTTCTACATGCAAAAAAATAACCTTAATCTACCGAGCTGAAAACTTATTCTTTTAAAACCCAACAATTTATAATTTCAAGAATTTTTATGTGCAAAAAGTGATTTTTACATGTAGGAGTTTCTATATTAAAAAAAATAACCTTAACCTATCGAACTGGAAACTTATTAAAGGACAAATAGTCACTCCGTTATATACGTAACCGTTATCCGTCCGCTTCTCCGTAAGTCATAATCAAATCATGATGATAGTATTAATTAAAAGTGTATATAATGTTAATTAAAATTTGATTTTTGTTGAACAAACGTTGGTTAAAAATTTAAGAATTTGGTCAATCACATTATAAATTTTGAATAGTCACAAGCTTAACATACCCAATTGTGTCAATAACTAATATTTTTATTGATATAAGGAACGGTTATGTACGTAATTAAATATAAGGAATTAAATCACTTACATCTTCGCAGAGATGTTTAAGCTTAGTCAAGTAGTTGAAGGCCGTCCTCAAGCGATCCTTGATAGAATGTTTCGTTATCAACGCCTTCAGGCCTCTTGTAAGAATGCTTAATTGATCCTAGTTAAAAATATTTATAGTATAAAATATAGTATTAATATTTCATTTTATTTTATATTTTTTTCTATAATGTGTTAAAAAAAATATTAACACTCGACATAAATAGTGTAATTAAAAGAAGAACAATAATATATCGCTATATATGATTATGATATAAAAAAAAATATGCCAGCAAATATTTTAAGAATATTAGTAGGTACTTGACTTACAATTTCGTGGATGCAAATCTTTTGCCTCTCGCGATCTAGTTTAGTATTGCCAATGGGTGGTGCATTTGACATGTATTGCACGTATTTGCTACACGCAGCGCTGACCGAGTCTAGTACAGACTTCAAAGCTGCTACGCTAGTATTGTCCGGTCCGCCGTCCATATCTAATGCATTTTGAGCGTCACAGAGACCTTCCTCCTGCAATAATGTACTCACGTTAACTCCATTAAACACACCTTGACAATGATGGGATCGCCTTCATGTATTTCGATATTAGAACATTTATGTGATTTATATAGAATTTAAAAGATAGATATATAAAATTCGCAAAATTTATTAAGTTTTTGTTTGATAAATATAAATTAAGTTTCACATCTTTTTACTTGTACTTTAAAATATCGTTAGTTCTGTGCTTAATTTTTAATCAAATGAAATTGCATCAATTTTGGCAGTTCTGGTGTGATTTTATAGGTACCTTGTTTATTAATGAAGGAGATTACCTAACGTCGCGCTACGACCCTTAGGAGGAAAGCAAATTATTCATAAATAAACTATGAGCCGCAGGCAGAGATTAGATTAATGTAAATGTGGATACATAAACCCATTAGAAAAATAACACCAGTAACATCGTATCAAAATAACGGACAAAAATACAAAATAACGGAAAAAATACAAAAACACAGAAACTATCTTACGAGACAATAGCTACCTGAAAATCAGTACAGGCTGGATAAATGAAATCACAGCTCAAAATCAAGAAAAAAAATAACTTACAAACAGATCAATAATGCATGAGATGAGGTTGGAGTTATACAAGCGGCGGCGGTGGTCCGGCCAGATGCTGCGCACGTGCATGCACTGCTTCGTGTCCCAGTAAGGGAGATAGTAGTAGTACTTGTCGCTGGACACGGCTTTGAGCGGGAAAGTCGTGCTTTGCCAGTAGCCGGTGTCAGCGCTCAGCTCGTCTGAGGATATGGTGTATGTATTTAGTATTTCCTAATATCTTTTTGTTGCTTTTATTGGAGTTTCTATTCGGAACTTAATATTTAATAATCAATATTATTAGGGTTATTAGAATATAGAAAAAGTCGTAGTTCATAATGGTATGTGGACAATTATTAACGCATAACTTCAAATTATTCGATATATTTATTATATCTTTAAATCAAGTTGCTTTAACATTTAAATATACTTCATAACTAGTATTTTGGAAAATAAATGTAAATTATTTTTAAAACCTACTAGAAACAAATACAAATATACTACAAGTCATACCCATTTCAATAGCGTCTAAATCATGAGGCCTTTTCACCGATTCGTTGTGACCATCCATCGAGTTGCCAGCATTCCCAATGCTAAGCTCAAACTGTATGGGCTTGTCTGTCAATTTCTTATCAATCATATTGGCTTCATAAACGCTAGCGAATAAGAAAAATTCTTCGTTCTTTTCAAATGACGTCTCGTTGATTGGAACCACAGGCTCGATTTCGACCTCTGACGCAGGACATTCGATGCTGTCCATAATTTCGGTCCGAATCGATACGAGAACTCTGAAAAAAAATAGTTTTGTTATTTCAATGCAAATAACGAATGAACCTGTTTTTTTTATGTAATATTATATATATATTTTCTTGCCTCGCTCGATAAGAGACGCCTTCGCCCATTCCCATGTTGAGATTCGCGTGTTGGTCCAACAGGCTGTAGTCGCGTGTGGACCCGTAAAGGTAAATATAAGCCGGGCCAAAAGTGGGAAGGAAACCTGTTCATGATAAATATTATTTAGGAAAAAATATATAGATATGATATACATAGACACATAACATTAAGTCAAAAGTTAACATTTAATTACTTTTTCCCTAACAAGCTGGGTTCAAAATCACCATCATGCTAAAAATACCAGTTATTTTGTTAAAAATATTAGTATTCTGTACCTTTTTCCCCATCATGAGATATAGTTTTCAAGTCAATGAAGTGCGTTCCGATGACACTTGGATGCACAGGGTCGTTGTCCCGCAGTTGAATTTTGATTCGTTGGCAGAGTGGGGGGAACATCTCCGTAAACACTATCTGTTCGTTCCACACCGGAGTGTAGGAATTCTTCTTCACCGATGTTTGACCCTATATCAAGTGAGGATGCTGTCAATTCTTTCTTCGAGTACTATACTATACCCATGAACGAATTGGTTAATTCGCTCATGACTATACCATATATATACATACATTAACATATCACACGCTCTCACAGAAAACTGAATCTAATACAAAATATTAAAACAGATATGTTACGTAATAAAAATGTTGCTATAAGCACTCGTATCATAAATAAATATATATTATATTTTTACAAGTAGATGTAATATTAAAATTGATGGAACGTCTGACTTTTAGAATACCGTTTCTTTACTTAGTTCAACAGCCAGTAGGATTACTAAATTTGCGTATTATTTTGTACTAAATAATTTTCCCCGCGGCTTCTCTCGCCTATTTCAAAGGTGGACAAACGTGAAGTAAAATATCTAAGTCACAAGTTACAAACCCAATTAATTTAGATTATACTTATATTTCCTAGACCTCAATGCTGAAGGTTTTATAAGATAAGTATTTATGTAAAAGATGTCAAAGGTAAATAGGAATGAATTCATTACTCATATTTCGTGTTAAAGCAATTAATTTCAAACAAAACTTCAATTAACGAATTCATTATGTAGTTATTATAAGATTTTAGTTGATTGATGTTTTCGCAGAAATATTATTTTCCATTACATAGTAAAAAATGTTTTGATATTATTTTAATTTTTCTACTATTACGTCATATTATTTTTCTTTGATTAAAAATATTTAAAAGATTCAAATATACTTGACTGCACAATTTACCGGAATTTGGAAAAAAACTATTTTACAACGCTTTGCGTCCCTCCATTACTCGGGGGTAGCTGGGCAGTGGGGGCATTTTACGATTTCTATTCCTTATATGTTGTTAACATTTTAAAATCATAAAGGTTTTCAATATTTTGTTCAAACCGGATTCCGATTGGACTATAATCTGTACATGTCATAATGAAATTGTGTCGGGGTCAACCGTTCGATTCTCTGGATAGTCATTTCTAAGACGCCTAGGATTTATTAGAGACTACGTACAGTTTTTAAATTTTTTGTCTGTTTGCATGTCTGATGTTTGTATTTACATGTCTGAGAGTTTATAATATAACATTTCACAATCACCTAAAAATGGAAAATTTTATAGGTATGTCATTCTCATACATTTTTTTGTGCGAGAATCGAATTCGTAATTCCAAAAAATTTGGATCCGACCTAAGCTCAAATTCAGGACCTTCAGTTACGCAGGCCAGGCGGGCAGGAGTTAGTGTAAAATATGATACTATCGAAAGCATGATATATATTCTACGGATTAAAATGTTTCTATAGACGTAACACGTTGTTTCTATAACACGAGGTGAATTGTAGTAATTTTAGTTGAAAATAATTAATTATGATTTAGTAGAAGGTTGCTCCGTCTAGATGAATATTAAACATTCACGAAACGATTTGAATGGTAACAACTAGCTGAAATAATACACACAAACTGCTGCCGTAGCCGTAATACTCGTATAAACACTTAATCTATAGGTATATACTATTTCATAATTTCGCTTACTCGAAAATTTTCCTCAACCTTTTAATTACATTAAAAACAAACCATACACAAGTTTATATAATTATAATGTTAATTATAATAAAATTAAACTTCTTTCACACTAAAACGGCTGGATGGATTTGGATAAAATTTAGTACACGTATGGACTAAGACCTGCAGTTACACATACCTACGGTAATTTTAGGTACCTAGGATACCGAAGTCGCTAGTAAAATCTATTTTGAAAATAATTGTGTTAATGCCATCTATATCTTCGTTTGTTTCATGAATATATAATACATGGAAAGTACAACTTTTGATTGACAAGCAATTTCTATGTACGACCAACAAATCCTTGTTAACCACTAAAGCTGATTGGTACTTCCGCCCCTATTGCAATAATATTGTCTGATAGTGATATTCAAGCTCGATCATGGTAGGACTAAAGCCTATTTCATCAGCATCCAAAAACACTTAGCTGAGTGTCGTATGCACCAAGCGTAGGAAAAAAAAATCTAGGATATATGTATATGAGTTTAAATTTTAGTCTGTCAGTCTTTGATAAGCAAATTTAAATAAACTGTTTAGTTAAGTTTTAATTAATAAACGTACTCGTATATGTAGTTTATTGACAAATCCAGCTTAACTCTCAGTTCTGAGCGCGTATTTCCAAAGCGTCTGGATTAAGTTTATAATATTCGGGCATGCAATAGCTAGTTATGCAATATAATAGAATAATTAAAATAAATATAGTAGAACCAATGTAATAAAAACAGGAGAATAAATATAATATTTAAAATAAGGTCGTTTAACTTAATCAATGGTACCTGCACACTATTATAACTATTGTAAATGCGAAATTTTGTATTAGCGTGTTGTTCTATGAGTATGTTATTATTCCTCACGCTAGCGGCTTGACGGATTTAGATGAAATTTAGTAAAAAAAATAGCTATGAATTGAAGTAAAATATAGTCTAGGATTAGTAACATTGTATTTAGCCTTTATTAAAGTCCCACTCCTGGGCACGGGCCTCTTTAAAATACGAGGGGGATCAGGTCATAGTCCACAAAGCTAGCCAAGCGCGGGTTGGCGGACTTCACATGTCTTTCGAAAACTTGTTAGGTTTTCTCAGACAAGGAAAACATCACGAGGAAACCTTTTCACACGATGTTTTCCTTCGCCTTAAGACAAGTAATAATCATGTTGTAAAAGATTCGCACATGAAAATATCAGAGGTACAAGACCCGAGATTTCAACCCGATTCATACGGTTTTGCAAGCGAGCGCGTTACCGCTGAGCTACCACTGAGTGTTACTAATAAGTAATAAAATTTGCTAAGAGGTGTAGATACTTACAGTCATGCCAGCGAAACAAACTTGGACGTAGGGATCGACAAGATCCTGGCTTTCTCCCGTGAAGGCTCTTTTCACGTTGGCCAGGATTGAGTAATTCATTTTAGGCAGACCATCTGCCTTGTAGATTTTGACTACAAATCGAGCGCGTTGGCGTTCGATGGATACTCCGTCGGGTAACAGCAAGTTGCTAGAAAACAATCTAGTTTTAATATATGGTTATCATTAAATATAATAAATAACGTAGTACGTACTTGAGTTGAGTTATAACGAAAAAATCGGCCTACTTTGAGTGTCGTTTAGGTAATTATTTTTAATTTACGCTCCCAGATATGAAATAAATTTTAATATTTAATAAATGTACTGTATATAATGTATAGGCTGTAATAAAATAGGAATTTTACCCCACAATAATATAGAAACAGTAACATATAATCTATGATAAGTTTTTTTTTATAAGTTGACTCTAAAATTTCGGGTACACATGACACTTATGTAATGAAAGATACAAACACTTACTTGAGTCTACTTATAATAGTTTTGGTTAGTACATATCGCATTACCTTTACTCAAAATGACATTTGAAATTTTTGACAAATGAGAATATTTTTTTTAAATAGCCTTTTTTTGGAAAATACATTTTTGCATACCACTTGTATACATACAGGTGGTTATGTGGGACTCACTGGCTATAAAAGCTAATACTACCCACTAAAATAATAATAATAATAATAAATATATTGGGACATTAACACACAGCACCATCTAGTTCCATAGTAAGCTACGAGGCTTGTGTTATGGATACCAGATAGTGATATACTATACATATTATATAACTTGTAAATACATACATATTATAAATATAAGCACCCATGACTGGAGTACAAACATTCGTGCTCGTCACACAAATGAGTGCCCCCAGCGGGACTCGAACCCGCGACCGCTAGCACAGCAAGTAGGGTCATTACAAACTGAGCCAAACGAGTCGTCAAATGAAGCAGAACCTCCCCTGTCTTTATAGGGCGTCGCAAGATCGCTTCCGCACTCAACCACGACGCCCGATGGCAGGTCTGCCAAAGCACATCACACAACCACAGTCCATTCTGCCGTCAGAGAAGTACCAGGAACAACTCGCATGGTATGCCTTCCACCGAAGTGGGCTATCTCTCTGTGTTTCTCTGGATTCGTGCTCTGCTTGGTTGCCGGATGCTAATAAACACCCCCCCCCTCCGCCCTCCCTCTTCCCATACCATGACAATGTGCACACACATTCAAATAGCTTACAAATATCAAATTTCCACAACCTACGAGTAAATGTGTAACAAAAAAACTAAAAATGACACTAAAGACTATGATGATGTTAAAATGTATACCTCACACTCACACACAAAGTTGCAATTTGAACGAAGAAACGTTGCTATAATCCTCGTATTTGTTAAAAAAATAATTCGATTTATATTTCCTTACGTTCCTGTACCATGGAACGCAACACGGTGCTTCGGGCTATAGATAAATGTAGCATCAAAGAGAAACATTTATGTGTAAAATAAAAGAAAACTTTGCTAGGCCTCCGGCAACTAGCAGTCAAGTCGTGCATACCCCGTATACAGGACGGAACAAATCGATGGGACATGAAAGAAAAATACCTTAAACATTGAAGTTATCAAGATTTACTCAAAGGAAACATAAATTTATTTTTAAAAATAAGATTAACTGCATTTATTATTTTATGAAATGAAATGTCCTGTACGAAAATTATATGTTACAGTTAATGAAAGCTATGAAATCTTACAACTAGCACGTATCGATCCTAACTAAAATCACAACCTTAAGCTATTTATTATCCACGAAGTATTACTCATGTATTCAGCCCCTTTCAATCAAATTCTTCAAAAAGTAAAAAAGAGAGGTTCTCAATTCAGCTGTATTTTTTAAATATTTGTTACTTCAGAACTCCGTCATTTATAAATAAAACGCTTTGGACAATTTTTGTTTGTTAGAAAATGTTTACTTCCCATTTGGTCCTATTTAAATTTGAAAATACCACTCCTAAGGGTGGAGAAATAGCTAGTGAAAATTTTATCTACTTCTAATTGTTATATTGACTTAAAACTTTGCAAGTGTTTTTATTTCCGTTCATCATGCAGTGGTTCGGTATCGTCGACCTGATCTGATGGTAAGCCCAGAAGGTCGATAGGCGGAACTCTTCAACGGCTAATAGTAGATACTTTGAGTTTTCGCTTATTTTGTTTGATTTAATAGACAGACAAACAATAATTCAATAAACTGTATATATATGTATACGTAACGTAAAGTACCTAGAGGGTAAAATTTTAGAAAACAAACGAGATAACATTGTTATAATTCAATCAATTCAAAAAGACTGGTAAAATTTCCATATGCAAATAGCATATTTGTAAATATATTATTATTTACAATATCCAAATTACATATTTTTATTTGTAAACAATGTTTGATATGTAGACAAAGTAAAAATAAATGGCGTTGGTTTCTCGTAAGTAACCATAGCTTTTAAAATAACAAATATCCTTACTCTTCCACAAAGCTCGTAAACTCAAAAAACCGGCTATAAGGTGACATTCAGAGAGATATATAGAGATAGCCTTGGCATAAATTGTGGTTCGCAGATGTTGTTCAGATCTTTTTCACACGCGCCCTATGCGTGGGGATGTTAAGTTGTATTAGCTTTATCCATACCTGTTAGCTAGAGGTAGGTTAACTAAGCCTTGTTTAACTAAACATTGTGGGAACTATAAAATTATCTATACCTATCTATAATAAAATTGTCACTAAGCCGAATCTGTACATTAAATATTTTTTGAAAAATCTTATTGAAATAAACATTATTATGGATACAGAGGCCGAATCTATAGTTTTTAGCATTTTTGTCTGTCTGTCTGTTACCGCATCACAGAAATACCACTGGAGGGATTTTGATGAAATTTAGTATTGTGATAGCTGGTTATCCGGGTCAACATATAGGATACTTTTTTCCGCGGGAAAATATCTCATTTCTGAGAAAAAATACAAAAACTGCAATGTAAGAATATACTAATATGTAAAACCTTAAAAAAAGGATTTTTGGTCATCTGAACGCGGGCGCAGCCGCGGGCAATTCTAGTGTATGTATAAATCCTAATTTTGATTCCCATTATTTAGAATTTTACTTTCTTATATGATACACGTCGATATTAAGAAAACCAATTTTTAAATTTGTTGTTTGAAGAAGATAAATATGATACCACAAAGATAATAATCATATGTCTGATAGTAGTGAGTTGTGCGTTTACAATACTTCCATGTAACGTTGTTGTTGTAAAATTCTGAAATGAAGATTTCTGTTAAATATACAGATTTACAATATATTCCGATACCGTATGACATACGATTTCTATATGTATAATGTTTAAAGCCTTCGATCAACAATACTATTAGATATCGGGTGTTCGTAAGAAATCCGTCTCAGTAAATATATGCTTGCTTGCAACGTGAGCGTATATTTCGATTAGTTCTTTTGAAACGTAAACACGTGTGAACGTGTTTTGTTTTGATTGTGAAATGCCGCAATATATATTTAAAAGTTGCAAAGATAATGCGCGAAGCAGAAATTTTTCAGACGGAGTGTCTTATTTTCAGTAAATTAAGTCAATATTTTAAGATTTAACCTACGAAATAATATAAAAATGAAATTTTGAACAATTTTAAATCCGCTGAACGTTGGCCCAGGTCGGCCAATATACGCGCTAATTCAAAGAAACAAACAGAAACAGAAACGATTTAGCTCACAAAGCAAGAATAGGAAAAAGTGCTTTATGTTTTTTTGATATAAGGTTAATTTTACAAAAAAGATTATAAAACTTACGAAATGATCTTACGATATATGTATTATGGTAATTCGAATGTGTTGATTAGCTTGAAAATAAAACTATTATAAGACTTTGTCTTGGTTCGTTAGTATACAAATGTAGCTGTATAAGTACATATTCGCGCGGACAGAATTTAGCTTTGATTTTGTATGTGACACATTATCTAGGAGTAATTGTTGATCGAAGCTTAAAGCGATTCAACTCAGCAAATGAAAGTAGTATGAGTACTTTTCGTTGCTATTTCGTGTAAGCAGAGTATTTCTCCGATCAAGCCGGCCCATTCGCGATGACATCTCTAGTGATGTTCTTCTGACCGATACCGGCTATGGCGGCCAATCTCATTGAGACTAGCCAACTGCGCAGGAGATATTATAGTGCACAAGTGTACGCACAGACACAAGTGCACTCTCTATTCCTGTCTCTCTCATAATCTGGTGGGACGACCACTCGACACGACCAGTGAGAGTTAAGGCGCAGGGCCGACGGCTTTACGTGCTCTCCGAGGCACGGGGGTGAAACACCGCCAACTTCCCAACTTCGGGCTGTTACTGAGGCTTACTATACAGAAAGACTCAATAACTAAACTTGGCTCGACCCGGGACTTGAACCCAGGACCTCTAGGTGTGCAGCCGTACATGCTAGCCACTACACCACCGAGGCACATTTATAGTATAAAGCTATAAAAATCCTTCTCATTTTCACTCTTCTATTCGTAATAGTGTATGTATCACACACACTTATGTGGAGTTTGGCGTAAAAGTTTAAAAAATAGTTGTTTATATAGATCAAAGGTTTCAGCAAAAAAAAACGTTCGATAGCAATCGACCGTGTACTTTAAAGGTACTCGCTAATTCGTTGATTAGCGAATAAGGCCATAAGGAATTATGAAATATTAATTGTAGATCATGGACGAATTAATTCGTTCATGTTGTAGATATTTGGTAAATCTGTTACGAATATAAGCAAAATAGTACTTCGAAAAGCGCGGTCCTCGACCTCACTTATGGAATACGAGTAGTATACTGAGGCTCTATTTTGCTGAAAAATGTAGGTACTTTAATTTCGTATTTATTTTTGCAAGTTTAAAATAACTTTACGAGGAAAGGTTCCCGCTATTATATTTAAAAGCTTACTAAGGAAAAGCTCTCGTTTCAATTTTTGATAAAGTTTATTAATAGATCTGATATTGGATGTATATATTTAAAACTAGTTTATGCCCGCGGTTCCACTTGCATGGTAGGTATGTCGGTAGAAAGTAGAGTATATATATATATATATGTGTGTATATATATATATATATATGTGTGTGTGTGTGTGTATGTATATATACACTAATTTAGAATATTAGCTATCAATTCGAATTTTTTAAGCCGTGCCTTTACAGTAATAAGAGGTCTCAAAGAGAAAGAGAGAGAGAGAGAGAGGATTTCATAATTTCTCGTAGTTTTATTGCTAATATTCAAAACAATTCATTGGTCTTGGCATCCTTTAATTGTAACATTTTATTATATGACAATATTATGTTTTTAAGTTTATCTATGTCATAATGATTGTAACCATGAGATATACTTAAATTGTCGTGGAGTTGATTAGGCTACTTTTATCTCTATAAAAGATACAGAACTAGTTTGTTGTGGAATGAGTGGAGGGCGCCCAGGGCGTGGGTCCGTCTTAAATACAATATGAAGATTTACTTACGCTTCTATGTCGTCCTCGTCCTTCTCACTCTTCTGGGGCACCTTCACGGTGTCCCCCTTTCCAATAACACTGATATCGCATTTAAGGTACCCTTTCGCTCCAGCAGTTACATCATCCGGGTCAGTCAGAAGTGCCCATTTGTGATAAAATTGTCGATCTGAAAATAAAAATTGTTTTAAGATTTGATAGAAATGTTTTTATATTAAGAGTCCTCTAGAAGTGGTTTTGAATTCTTTAATGTAAGCGATGGGTTTTTAGAGTAGGTTAGTTAGTAATTCGCGGCCAGTTTAATAATTGAGTTCTAAATAGCTTGCTATGATGTACTTATCGTATTAGAGTCGTTTTTATTAATAACGAGGCGTAAAACCTTATTTCACTACATTCAACAAATGCCAGTTGGCAGACTTCAGTTGGATTTTCTTAGACAAGCAGATTTTCTCACAATGTTATTCATTCATAATTATGTTAAAATTGACATTTGCACATGAACATTCCAAGTGTGCGAATCCTGGACGTTGAGCTGACTTCACTCTGTTTCCAAAACGAGTGAACCCCCAATGAAATACCATTACTATAATATTATTTACTTTATGTTAAGAAGTGCTAGTAACAAAATATGATCTTTGTTATTCAATAATAGGAGCCTAACGAAATATAACCTAACCTAAAAGCATTATTTTACATAAGAAAAACTCCTCTTTAAAGTTCCATCGCGCAATGATATTTAATCATACTGCCATAGTTTATGCGCCATATTTTTTGCAATCGATCTCTACGCAGATTCTTTATTTAAAAATAAATATAAAACATTGGCTAAAACTAAAGCGCATGAAAAATATCTTTTTAACTTCAACATAAAGGTGTAATAAAAACGAAGTGGTAAATTACCACTTTAAACTGTACTCCGAATATTATGCAATCTACATATACTAATATGATAAAGAGGTAAAGTTTGTGAGTTTGTGAGGTTGTGAATTTGTGAGTTTGTGACGTTGTAGGGGGTAATTGGGAAGCCAGTTAGGGACGAACCCGAGCAAAGCGAGGGTAAATCGCTAGTGTTTTATGTTATTAAATAATTATTTGTTTGTTTGTTTTTAACAATTACACTTTATATGAATTCGGTAACTAAAATTTCACCAATGAGCGAAAATGCAAACGTCTTTAGCTCCTTTGTTAGAAATCCTGCTAAGTTGTTTAGGAGTTTCAATTGAAATCTCGCATTATCTTCAGGTTTCATTTGTACTTGTCGATCAGAATATTATTATAAGTTTCGCAATTCCAATACAAGCGTTTGCTTACTAGGATTACAATCAGAAATTGCACATACCCTCAACTGATGCTTTAGCCTTTAACTAACATTATGCTGTTTGCTTTGGAAGCTTCTAATATCGATATAATGGAAACGGGTAAACCTTAACATGTAAATAATAGAAGAGATATCTAGTTCTATTGACACATTGCTTGGAAGCATAATTTTAGATATATGTATTGCAATTTTTTTGAAATTATTATTAAGAGGTTTATTGAAATCATACAGTTAAATAGTATAAAATGAAGTCGCTTTCGCTGTCTGTTCGCTCAGTTCTTTTAAACTACTCAACGGATTTTAATGCAGTTTTCACCAATAGACAGAGTTATTTAAGAGAAAGGTTTACATGGATAAAATATATGCAACTAATATATATGTACAGAAAAACCGAGAAATTTAAATATTTCTATTTCATATTAACCGTTAAAACGTATCTATAAAGTTTTCTACAAAGTTTATGTTGATTTATGCCTCATTGGCTTATGCAAATCGGCAAATTATCGAATTGCATACTTTTCAGGATGTAATTAGCCCACCATACCTTAATCTGACGGTTTCAAGTATTTCTACCTTATCAAAATATTTTTTTAATATTTTGATCGGCTTCCCTAGACGCGCCCCTTTATATAGAGGACTTATATTATGGTGGAAGTACTCAACAGAATGCAAGGTCCCTCTTTATTATCATAAGGTCCCCCCTTATGATAATCTGCCGCACTTGAGTAACTCCAAAAATCCCCTCTTGGGCTCCCTTATTATTATGCGTTATGTCTAACTTTAGTGACTTTACTTTTTGTACGCCTGTGGACTAACTTGTAGAACTTTATAATAATTTATGATAGATAAATTTATTTGTCTAAATAAAAGTGCATTCTATCTCTTGGTATGTAATTTACATATATTTATGCATGTAATTTACATATATTTATTTACATATTATAATAAAACTATCACGGTCTTATATCTGTACATAGAAAAACAAAAAATGCTAAAAACCGAGTCAGGGGGATGTACTAAGAGAAATAGAACAAATCCAGATTTTTTTCAAGTTTTTTATTGTCTGTTTGTCTGTTTGTACGGGCTAATCTCCAAAACTGTTAGACCGATTTAAATGAAATTTTGCATGATGGTACCTTATATCCTCGATCAGCATTTTAGATACTTTTCAATTCGGAAAATTAAAGAGTTTCTGTGGGATATTTAAAAAAAACTATAGTAACTTATACAGCTTAGTACACAAAAACTACTGATTGGATTTTAATGAAACTTTTTAATAATATAGTTTATACATCAGAATAACAAATAGGCAACCTTTTATCCCGAAAAAATGTACGGTTCCCGTGGGATAGATTTGTATTTGTATGTCTAGAGGCGAGAAGCTAGTACTTATATTTATACGTAGATCGTTGCAGAGAGTAACAAAGTCTATATAAAATAGATAGACTAAGATTCAAGGGCTACGAATGAAAACAAGTGATTTCAACCATAGAAATAGCTATAATAGACACATTAGTTATGTATTACGTATAAAATATTTAATATCTATAAAACAGTGACAATTATTTTAGTGGTAAAAACCATTCTAAAAATTTCCGAATTTGCTATTTTTTCGGTCATTGTTATACTCGTACCTACTCCAATTTAAAGACTTACAGCTACATTGTGGTTCCCTCGTTGTGTTTCCTAGAGCAGAGCTCTGGGCGATTAATTAGAAGTAATATTTGGAACAACCGTAAGTAATTGGCGTCGTAATTAACTTTTTCATTGTGTTTGTACGGACGTACTAATGGTTTTATTTTTTATATTTTTATAAAAACACTATCGACTTACCCTGGTCTTACCCAGGGTGAGTTTCGAGGTGCCTTTTGTCTTTATAATATTATTATATTTATCTTTAAAAGCAGCGCCACCTGTTAGCAAACTTTACTTAGATCATAGTTTCACTTCCTCCCGATGTGTGTTTACGTTGTGCTTTTTAGCATCCGGAAATCCAGCGGGTGCGAAGCCGATAAACGCTCTGGCAGGCCCATCTCGTTGGGCGGTGTGCCATGCGGATTGCTCGAGGTGCTTTCTCTGATAGCAGAGTAGACCGTGGGAGCAACCCAAGAACAGAAGGGTAAACAAGTTGTTGTGGTCTACCTCGACAGGCTTGCCATCGAGAAGTCGTGGTAGAGTGCGCAAGCGACCATGCATCGGCTCATTATGATGGGATAAGTTCGGTTAGATTTTAGTTATAGTTCTGGCTTTTCTTGCTTGTGAGTCCCACATAGCACGTATATATGCAGGTGGTATGCGAAAATGCGTTTGCTAACGTAATACCATAAAGTATCCCATGTATCCATAGTAAGTAACTTTATAAAAGTTAATCTATAGCAGTTTCCGTAAGTATATGTGAAAATTTACTTTAATCTGTGAAAACTACACTTTTATATCTACTACTTCTATGTCGTTTTAATTTTGTAATTCTGAAGAGATTGTTAGATTGAATTGTGACAACAATGACACGGATACGGTCTTTTGCATTTTATAGTTTATTTATTCAGGAAGTTAATAAAGTAATCTTAGATCACGCCATGGCTCTTAGAAGCGGGATAATAATATACAAGTGAAAAAGTCAGATTATTGAACTGAAAGTTAGATTATAATATTTGTAAAAATATTGTTTCATTTAAAATAAATTATCTTTTCAGATAAGAAGAAATTAAGATTTCAGGCGTCTCAAGGAACATATATTATTACAATCTCTCTCGTCATGATGATGGTAAAGCATTCAAAACCTCGGGAACAAAATCAAAATAAATCTGCGAAAAAATCTGAAAAGGTTTCAAATATTCAAATATAGAAAGTATTATTATTGTTGCTTATAACGCAGGACAAGTATTGTTTTAGTTAAAAGCAAGCAGAAATTCAACCCACTGCGGTCAGAATTACGTAATTATAAACGTGGTATTTAAAACTTAACTGCTTTTAATATGCATAATGCTAATGTACTACCCTATTATTCTCTATAAATAACATTTTTTCCAAGCCTTTAGAATTTTCTAACGCGTTTCTGACATAAAATAAACTACCGACACGCCTTTGTTTTGCTCAAATGTGTCCTAAAGGGTTTTATTGCAGAAGGCTAATTTTATTGTTATTCCGCGTGATTACCAATGTATTGATACTTAATGCTCAATAAAATGCCTATATGTAAATAATTATTTACCGACTTCAAAATAACCTAAATAGTAATTATTCCACGTATTTATTAAAAGATTCTTCAAATCAGCTATTAATAGACGAAAACATCACGCAATATACACTTCTCCTTTACTGCGTGCCAGAAAGGCAAAGTAACAAACTATGAAACTAGCAACAGATTAAACTAGTAAGAAATAGTAGTAGAAAAATATATTGGGTCAGACACCCAAGTACGCACCCGAACTACGTTAAGTCTCTGGTTTATAATAATAATGTGAATCTATACAGATGAATAAAATTGAAGTGTCTGGTTGTAAAGTCGAAAGAAAAGCTTTTTACTAAATGCATTTGAAATTAATTATAAAAAACATAATTTTTAAAGTTTTTGTCTGTATGTTTGTTCCGGCTAATCTCCGAAATGGCTGGACTGATTTTGACGGGACTTTCACTGGCATATAGCTGATGTTATATGGAGTAATTAGAAAAAGAATTAGGTTTCGTTCAAAAAATTAAAAACGTACCTCGTGCTTACTGAGCGAAGCGACGGTAAATCGTTAGTATAATATATTTCTTGCAAAATGTTTATAGAAGCTCCTATTGTTTTAACTTTTGATACCATGTTGTAATTCAGGACTCAACCTCGAGTTATATGTTACATTACGGGC